TCTCATTCCTTACCTACAGATAATATGGTAGACACTGTTCTTGATGATATGGAATCACCAACAAACCTTGCTCTCAACAGGGGGTACATGTACACACACTGTAGCAATCACAGGTTCCGTGATGGAAATGCCAGACACCGCTAGGGGTTTTTTCAAAAACTCTATTTCAGACTTTCAATTGGAAACCCCGGCAGAACACACTATAGACACCATAATGTTGAGTAACCCTAATGAAAATTCATAACTTGAGCACACCATAGACACCACAATGCCCTGTAACCCTGATGAAAATCTATTACTTGGACGCAGACTTTGCGTAAAACAACTATCTACAAGACTTTAGGGATATGTAACACACATTGCAAGGAAGTTGAGTCCTTCTCTAGTTCATTAGCTCCATCACATCCTTCAGGTACTCCTTATCCTATTGCTCACTATGTAAATTGTGCCAAAATTTCTTTGCCATATAGACATTTCCTTACAGTAATTACTGTAGAAAAAGAGCCCCTATACTTTCATGAGGCAATGAAAGATGCAAGATGGAGACAAGCCATGCAAGCTGAGATAAATGCGTTGGAACGTAACAATACATGGAGCATGCAACCATTACCTACAAGGAAGAAAGCTCTCGGATGCAAATGGGTGTATTGCATTAAGTATAATTCTAATGGCACCATTGAACAATTTAAAGCTCGTTTGGATGTGCTCGAAAATCATCAAGAGGAAGGCATTAACTACACTGAAACATTTGCTCCCGTTGCAAAAATAGTAACGATGTGAACTGTTCTTGCAATGGCAGTAGCCAAATCCTGGGAGCTTCATCGAATGGACATACACAATGGGTTTGGTGTGTAAAAACTGATCACTGGGCAAGTGTACCCGTTGTTGAAGTAATATTATTAAAATTAAAATTAAAGTACCAAGTGTCGTATCCACAAGGACTGTTATTAAGAAACTTTTTTTAATTGCGTAATTGTTAATAAATATGAAAAATAAACCTTGTTGATGAAATTGCTAAAAGTAAAAGAACAATAAATTAAAAGGAACATATATTCTAGTGAAAATAAATTATAGAAAATTATGACTAAAGGTATTCAATGTAAAAAGGCAAGTATCTAGACTGTAAATCCCCCTAAGTGTCCAAATAACTAAAATTCTTCTTCAACTACTTAGTTCCAAACCCTTATCGCTGCAGGAAACTATGAATGGGTGTGATGGTATGTTTGGATGTGATTGCGACGTGTTTGAATAGGGAAACTATGAATGGTTCAGAAATACACTGGGGGTGTGAAAGATGGGGGCGGTAGTAATACCTTGGGGAAGAGAGGGTGGTGGTGACACCAATAGTGAGCGTGGGTGCACCACAGACCACACACTCTCCTCTTGATTTGGCATCTGACTAACACCTTTGCCTGGGGGGCTCAATACCGCACATGTTGAATCTGTGGAGCGGGAGCTATTTGGGCGACCATCCATAGTATAACTGAGTAAGTCCCTGAGGTTGAGGGCATCAGGAATCTATGATCACAGTGTCACAGTGAGCGTGGCTACGTGCAGTAAGCGCACGTGTGTTTGTCTAAATGTGTGGATTTGTAATTGGTGCAGTGAGCACACCTATGGTGATTGAGAATTTGGATGCATGATGGTCATTGATGTATGCTCCTAATATGATTAGAATTTATGTATAATGAGTCAGGTGAGTCTAATGCTTGTCTGTGTGTTTATACTAGTGTAAATGATTCATCCTTACGTTTATTTTTCAGGTAACCAAGACGATCAGCACTGGGACTCCTGAAGGAATGAAGGATGAAACTGCTATAGGATTTAGAATTTTATTATCTGATGTATATTTAAGTCCTGTAGCAAGTAATGATGCAAATTGTACTCTAATTTCTAATTTGAAACATTTTATGAAATTGTGCTTGAACAATTATCTAAATGAAAAAATTTTACTATTTTGAACTTTGTGAAAACAAATTTATTCAAAAATTTAAAATTAAAGTGTTACAAATTGAGCATTGGGACGCGACCGTCCGAGTGGTTCAGTTTCTCAAAGGCAATCTTGGTCAAGGCATATTGCTTTCTCGCAATTGTGATCTACAACTTCATGGCCGGTGCAACTTCAACTGAGCTAGTTGTCCTCTTACACGTTGCTTAGTTATCAATTGGCTAGTCCAGCTTGGTCAATCCCCTATCTCTTGGAAAATAAAGAAACAACATACCGTTTCTCGGTCGTCGGCTGAAGCTGCACATAGGTCCATGACAACCACTACATGCAAGCTCAAATGGTTAAAAGAGATTCTTTTTTACCTTGGCATCACTCATACCAAACCTATGATCATTCATTGTGATAGTCAAGCGGCCTTGCACATAGCTAAAAATCTGGTGTTTCATGAACTTACTAAGCACATAGAAGTTGATTGCCATTTTGTTCGCAATGAAATCCTCCAACACAATATTCTTCCAACTTATGTCTCTACTAATGTTCAACTAGCAGATATCTTCACAAAAGCTTTGGGATAACCACAATTTGACTACTTCTTGGGCAAGTTGAGCATTCTAAATCTCCATGCTCCTACTTGAGGGGGGTAATGCCGTAACAGATTGTTAACAAAGTTTGTTATTATACAAAATTTAAATTCTGAAGTTGTTATGTAAATAAACTAATTAGGAAGAGATTTGTTATCCGTTTTTCTTGTAAACAAATTTGTTTTGTTAAAGTTGTTAGTGTTTAGGAGATATTTTAGGAATAGTTTTGTGTATATAAACAATATACCATTAAAGAATAAAATTATCTGAATCCGTTCCTTTACAATATGAATGACTAGATTCATATGACCTTAGATCATCCCAAAATTTCTCCCATCCTTAACCTTATTTAGGTGAATTGTAACATACTAGCTATGTGAAGATCATCATTAAATTTTTTAAATAATCATACTATTCTTTCTCCTCCGTTTATTAGTCGTCAAGTTACATCAAAGATCAAGGTTTCAAACTCTTACAATAAATTATAGGTATATTGTTTGAGTCAAGTAAGACCATTATGAGTGACAAAACTCTCCCTCTTTAACATTTAACACAATTGCATTAATTAAAACTCAAATTTAAGACCAATATTAAGTTAAAACAATTTCTTATTGGTTGATTTACATGTCCAATAATCTATAATTATTACATTGTCATAAATTCTTTTACCATAATAATTATAGATTTATTTTTTAAATATTTAAAAATTATGAGAAAAAAGTTATTTAAATTAATTAGCTAATTCGTCTTTTAGTACAAAAATCAATTATAAATATTTTAGATTAAAAATAATTTTCAATTTAAAAAAGAAGGAGTAAAGCTTAAATGCACTAATTTACAAGTATAAAAATTATTTAACTACATAATACATACAATTCTTATCTTTAGACAGAAAATAAAATCAAGATGTCAAAATCACTTTGCTTGAAAACTACAGTATGTATAATCTTCAATTTTGTAATGGTTTTTGAAACATTTTCTATAGATAAAGGAAAATAATTAATTAAAAAACAAGATTGAATTAGCCAATTTGACCGGTTGGATAAAGAACTAATCAAATTACTAATTCAAAAAGCTAGAAAGTAAAAAAAAAAAAAACACAAATATGCAATAATTAGTTGATCATACCGCTAGAATTGGCCACAACTGGGAAAGAACCAACTAAAAAAGTCGACTTATCTCAATTGTTTAAAAAATTTATTTTCTTAATTTTTTAAAGTATTTAAATTTTGAAACATTTTTTTTTACTATATAAAGCTTTGTATACCAGATCTATTTATAAAATGATTATTTAATTATTTTATATTAATTTGATACTAAATATGATATAATATTAAATAACATATTTTATTATTATCAATTCAAATTTATTCAATTATAATTAGATTAATAAATGTAAATCACTCTTTTTTATTAATTAAAGGATCCGTTTAAATTTAAAAGAGGCATATTATTTGAACCACTCAATTTTTTTTATGGAATTTAATACTATACATATTTTTTAATTTTATATATATGCATATCTAAAAACAATATAAAACATAAACATGTTCTCTTTTTTAACAGCCATCAAATATATTTTAAAAGACAGTGGAAAAAATGAGGGTCGACGTGCTTCTACTTTGGATTGGAAAGCGTGTGAGCTGAGAAAGCTGTCCCCACATGCTGAGGCAGAATGAATGTGGCCGAGGAAGCGGCTTCATTCAAACGACACCCATTGCAGTGCACGTGTGGCGAAACCCAAATTTGCACTTTTGACTTTTCAATTTTGTTTGCGACGAAGCCTACAAGTGTGTCTGTCACTGTTCCATCAGTTTCAATATTTACATTCGACGTCGAAAAACATTTTTAAGGTTTGAGATTTGCAGTTTTACATTCGACACGGTGTCACACATTTTGGGTGGATTTGAATTAAGGTCAAATCCACTTAAATGAAGATGAATTTTAAAATTATAAACTATAACCTATAAAAATATTATAAATTATAAAATTTCCCTTAAAATGTAATTTAACTTAATTTTGTCGAGTTTGCAAAAACTAAAAATCCATAATTTCCGGTGTTTTGATTTTTTTTTATTTTCTCGGCTACCAAACACGGTCTGGAAGAACCAAAAAAGAAAGAAAGAAAAAAAAGAAAAAGAAAATTGTTTCGAAAAGGAAAAAGAGAAACATTTGGACACGATAATGGGTTCATAGAACCTGGACGGTGATTGGGTTGTATGGTTTGTATAACTCAAGTGGCACTTTTCCTTTGATGGGTTTCAATGTTTCAAAACAAAAATTGAGTTTTTGGGGTGAAGACACACGAGAACCATCGATTGTGGGGAATTGAAAACCATGCTGTAACTGTTTTCGGGTACTCTATCTTTCTCTCTGTGTACAAAATGCACTTTTTATTTTATTTTATATTTTCGGTGGATTGTTGATAATTTTCTATTTGTTTCAATTTGTGCTTCGCTGAAATGGTGACAGAGCGAAATTGGAATCCTCCACTATCAATGGCTTGCATGAGAAGCTAAGGAAGGAGAGGTGATTTTTGAGTATAGTTGTGTTAGACTTTATTCTTCAAACTTAATATGATTTTGAATAGACACTTTGTGGTTCTTGAGGGTTTGGAAAAAGTTCATGATTTTGTTCTGTCTTGTTCTGATTGAAGGAAGGGTCCAATTTGTCTCTCTTGTATGTATCGTGCTTACATAAAGTTAATACTAAAATGCTGTGGCGCCACGTTAACGATAATGTATGTTACTACATATTATTGTAGGGTTTGCGTTAAGTTACTTCATGGGGTAAATAAAAAAAAATGTTAAATAAAAAGGTGATATAATTTCAGTATGATATCTTAATTTCACTTGTTTACTTGAGATGGGATTATTTACTTCATGGAGTAAATTAGATTGACCCATTATCTTACATTTTTATGGAATGGCATAGATTAAGGATGGCTGTGTTTTAAGCATTGTGATGATTTCTGTTGAACAGTCAAACGGGGTTTGTGGTTCTCATTTCGGACGGAGGAACTTGTTGGTTCTATAATTATATTAAGGGAATTCGATTCCTTTTTAATATTGTTTTTCAAGAATGACAATTTTAAAGTAAAAGCTTGACTATTATTAGTAAAGAACAACATTAACAGATAATATTTGACAATTATGTGCCCATAGGCATACTTTGTGCGTACAGTTTCAAGAGTAAATTTATTATATGTAAAATAAGTTAATTTGAACATGCAAAATCACAGACATCATTAAGCACTGAAAGTTCAATATCTATTGCCATAACTTTCAAAGTGTTTTATTAGATTCTTTAGTTTATATATCACATCCTGGTAGTCCTTCACATCCTGCAAGTCATTGGTTAGATTAAATTAACCTTGAAATTTGACTTAGGAAACCATCATAACGTCACTCAAGAACTAGTGTTGTCAATTGCTAGTTGTGATGAACCAAGGTTCAACTTATTTCTATTTTCCACTTTCTGAACTCCTTGGTTTTGAATGAATAAGCACAGCCATTGCACTATTGCAGGTTGTCATATTATTAATAATATTATAATAATTTCTAGCTGCTGCTAGCCCCTGCTTGTTAGTCATTTCCTTCTTATACTATATATATTTCTTTCCTACCGTTCTTAATATGAAGTAAACCAGCACTGAATATCAGTTATTCAACATTGATATGCTTTAATTCACTTTCATATTTTTTTTAATTATGCATGACAGTGACATCCATATGATTCAAAGTCACACCTTATTTTAGCATGTTTTCTCTTTCAGCTTGACTTTAGCTTTTGACTTGAAGTTAAAAGATCCAAATTAGCTTCCCAGCGCACTCCCTTTCATTCAGGTTGGTTAACTTGAATGTTCTCTTATCTTAAATCTGTTCTCAAATCTGAGAGTTTATATTTACTTGATTTTCTTCACATTGGATTGTGTACATCAGAGCTGTAAGCAGCATGTTAAGCTAAATTGTCAAACTCTATAAGCATAGAAGGGTGTAGGAGCCTGTGTTGAATGTAATACAAACCATATTCTTTTTGTGATTGAATGCTGCAGTTAAAATATTTGCATCACTTACTTGTGGATATAAAGTTTTTTCTACTGTATTACAGGTGAAAGTCATTGTTGATGTCCTCAATGGGTGATCCAGCTGATGAAAATCTTGAAACAAAAGAGATGGATTCAAGAAGTTTGTCGTCCTCACATGATCACGAACCGTACGTCCACAAGGTTGGAATTCCTCCAAGACAAAACCTCTTCAGGGAATTCCGAGCCACTGTAAAAGAAACATTCTTCGCTGATGATCCTCTTCGGCCATTCAAGGATCAGCCTAAGTCCCGGAAGTTCATCCTGGGAATTGAAGCCATATTCCCCATTTTTAGATGGGGAAGAACTTATAGTCTCACAAAATTTAGAGGGGATCTTATTGCTGGTCTAACTATTGCAAGTCTCTGCATTCCTCAGGTAAATTTATTTCAAAAAGTATATATTAATTTTTTGAAGAATAATACAATGATAGATTTGAGTAAAGCATTGTAATTCCAACATCTATCTAATTCTGAAGGTTTTAAATTATGATGTCTCTTGAAAAACAGGACATTGGATATGCAAAACTTGCAAATTTAGCTCCACAGTATGGACTGTGTAAGACTTTCTTCTCTCAGAAACAACTGAAGTTTTCTATGTGTTTTCTTTGGATGTTGGACTGAGATTTTGTTTCCTTTTGTTATACCCTTTACAGACTCTAGCTTTGTTCCACCACTGATTTATGCTGTCATGGGTAGTTCTCGTGACATTGCAATAGGACCAGTGGCAGTGGTTTCTCTCTTGTTGGGAACTTTACTTCAGAGTGAGATTGATCCCATTGCAAATCCTGTAGACTATCAACGGCTTGCTTTTACTGCCACTTTTTTTGCTGGGATTACTCAAGCAACACTTGGGGTTTTTAGGTATGAGACATTGATTCTAGGGGAGTTTGCGTTTAAATCTTCCTAACTCTTATATCATGCCCTGCACATGTGCTACTAGTGCTATCAATCTCTAATGAAATACTACATTTTTCAATACACCATGATGATATTGACATTTTGGTTGGCTGGATCTTTTTATCAGGTTAGGATTTTTGATTGATTTCCTATCTCATGCTGCAATTGTTGGTTTTATGGGGGGAGCTGCCATCACAATTGCCCTTCAACAGCTTAAAGGTTTCCTTGGGATTCGAAAGTTCACAAAGAAAACTGATGTTATCTCTGTGATGGATTCAGTATTGTCATCAGCCAAACATGGAGTATGCTTTCTCTTTTTCTCTTTCCTGCATTCAAAAATTATTTCTTGAGTTATGTTCTGAAGATGTGTGTGTGTTTGTATGTGTGGGCACACCAAAACTGATTAATATCTAACATTTGCAGTGGAACTGGCAAACTATAGTCATTGGAGCTACCTTTCTGGCTTTTCTTCTGTTTGCCAAGTATATGGTTAGCACTCTAATTCATTTGGCTATATATTCCTTAAACATATTATTTGGATTGTAAATTATTTTCTCATTATTTTATGATACATGGATTAGGGAAAGAAGAACCAGAAATTCTTCTGGGTGCCAGCAATTGCTCCATTGATATCTGTGATTCTCTCAACTTTGTTTGTATACATAACTCATGCAGACAAACATGGTGTTGCAATTGTAAGTTATATATATTAATCTTCTCATCCTTAATATAGCGGATTGTAATTGTAGTCATATGATTTTGGTGCATGTTTTGGTTGAGCTACTTTTTGGGAAAACAATCACTTTCTTTTTGAAAGCATTTTTTCCACCAAAATGAGCTAATTCAAAACGCACCAATTTTTGGTAAGACTCAAACAGTACTGAGTGTCAGTAGTAAATCTTCTTTTGTCTGTTGATGTGTGAAGGTAAAACACATTGAGAAAGGGCTAAATCCTTCATCTGTGAAGGAAATCTATTTTAGTGGTGATTACCTTGGGAAAGGCTTCAGAATTGGCATCGTGGCTGGCATGATAGCATTGACTGTAAGCAAACTTGGATGTTATTATCTTCATTTGAAGAGTATTTCACCATTTACTTGTGCGTATTGTTCTAAACCGTAACACTTTGATTATCAGGAAGCCATAGCAATTGGAAGAACTTTTGCTTCTATTAAGGACTATCAACTGGATGGAAACAAAGAAATGGTGGCTTTAGGAGCTGTGAATGTTGTTGGTTCAATGACTTCCTGTTATGTAGCAACTGGTATGTTCAAAGAGATGTTTTATAAACACTTTGTCATCAGGTGCAACTGTAAAAAAGATGTAATGAGTGATCATGTCTCATGAAAAAAGTTATAATATTTTTCTTTAGGACACTAAAATATTAATCAATATTAAAGATGAAAAAGGGACAAGAAATGAAGTTAAGGTTATAATGATTTCTGTAAATTCCACTTTAACCATATGTAGTTTACCCTTTATCAAAAACCCTCTCAACATTGTTGTGGTATCATTTGACTCCCTTCAATTTTGGTTTAAGTTCATAACAACATTTTCAGTTAAATTTAATGGGAGTTTAACATTTTCTTAACCTAACCCCACCCACTTCAAAGTTAATTTCTCTATAGAAGTTCTTATAAGAGAAGAAAATCAGTGTAAAAAAATTAATAAAACTTCTCTTATAAGTTAGAAACAACCTATCTCCTCAAAGTTTAGAGAATTTAAATTAGAGTTTCTCAAAAAATAGAAAAACATAAGTTGATTTTAACTTGTGAAAAAGTTTGATTCATTTTACTACATAATTTTTTACTCTTTCTTATAGAGGAATTTATCTAAACTGAGGGTAAGGGGTGATCTGTCTTAAAACATAAAGGAGTACAGCATAGACAGTGACTGATGTTAAAGTTAAATATTTTCAATATAAAACAGAGAAGGGGGGGGGGGGATAAGTAACACCAAAGAAACAAAAGTTGAGAGGGTTATTTGCGAAAAAGGAGAAGCTATGGGAGATAAAATGTAATTTGCCTCGAATTATTTTTTGTTAGCTTGTTTCATAATTTATCATGAAAATGCGTATGCATGTGGGTTCTATACTAATATTTTATAGGTTAATTTCTTGCTTTCTACAGGTTCTTTCTCTCGGTCAGCAGTAAATTTCATGGCTGGCTGTGAAACTGCAGTTTCAAATATTATCATGTCTGTTGTTGTGTTCTTAACATTGCAATTCCTCACGCCTCTGTTCAAATACACTCCAAATGCCATTCTTTCTTCAATCATCATTTCTGCTGTCATCAACCTTGTGGACTACAAGGCAGCAATTTTGATATGGAAGATTGATAAATTTGATTTTGTTGCTTGCATGGGAGCATTTTTTGGGGTTGTTTTTGCCTCAGTTGAGATAGGACTTTTAATTGCAGTAAGTACCACACATGACTCAGCTATCTTATGCTCCATAATGTTGAAGTGTTTTCTGATTTTTGGTCCTTACCTTTACTTGGTTGTTGTCAAATGTTGTGGTAGGTCTCTATATCCTTCGCAAAGATCCTATTACAAGTCACTAGGCCAAGAACTGCAATTCTTGGGAAAATTCCTAGGACTACTGTCTACAGAAACATCCAACAATACCCCGAAGCCACAAGGGTTCCCGGTGTGCTAATTATAAGAGTTGATTCTGCAATATATTTTTCCAACTCCAATTATGTTAAAGAAAGGTAGAATCATATTCTTCATTTGTTTCCAACTCCAAGCATATTTTTCCAATTAACCGATTAGAAATTGTTATCCAAACTTCAATAGCATACTAAAATGAAGCAATCCAATCTTTATAAAGGTCTAGTTGTCAACTTTTTTGTCAATAATCTAGAAGGATATAATGGTTTAGAAAATGTCAGGGATCTAGTCATGCTACATACAGTGGGCAGTTTCAAGTATACAACATCAAATATCTTATCTGAACTGCTTAGCTCTATAATATTTCAAAAATGCATGCTATTAGAGCTTAAATGTGGTTGTTAATATGGGAGGTTAAACAGAAAAGACAGACAGACAATCAGAAACAAAATAATGCTGGATTAACCAATTGGATAGTTAGAGACTATGTGATTGATTTAGCCACTTTTACTCTTTGGAGTATTTGTATCTTAAATTCATATATGTATATTGGTATTCTGAAATGATAATTTCACAACCTATTTTGATGCTCAAAGACCTATTACCGTGCAGGATATTAAGATGGCTGATGGATGAGGAAGAACGAGTGAAAGGAGACTACCAAACAAGAATCCAATTTTTGATAGTTGAGATGTCACGTGAGTGTCTATACATATATTTTTCCATTTTTCTCATCACATAATCCTCCAATAAGGCAATATTTCTTTGGCAATTCATAACCTCAAACACATGTTAATTGCAGCGGTTACTGACATTGATACCAGCGGTATCCACGCCCTTGAAGAGTTATTTAGAAGTCTTCAAAAGAGAGATGTTCAGGTAATGAAACTATCTATATACTAACAACTCTAAATTAAATGATATAATGTGACAACTACCATACCAAAGTGGTGCTTCTTTGATCAGCTTGTGCTGGCAAATCCTGGGCCGCTAGTAATAGACAAGCTCCACACATCAAACTTTGCTGCTTTGCTTGGTGAGGACAAGATCTTCCTCACTGTTGCTGAGGCTGTTGCATACTGTTCTCCAAAGCTTGCTGAGGACCCTTGAAAAATTAGAAAATGTGATTCTTACAACATTGTTAGGATAGGAAAATGAGGTGAAGAAACTATGTGGAGGTGGTAAAGACATACGGCTTTCATGTTTCAGCTGAGTTAGCTTGTCAAGAATGAGGTGGTCACTACAAAAAGTTAGTACATGTGGCCCTTTGTGCTGTAGTTAGTGCTCTGTGGTCCTTATCCTATAAATGAAAAATAAAACGTACATGTAAAGATGCGCTTCTTGTGCACTCTAGTAAGCGTTAGAGTGCTTTTTCCATCATTATATGTAATGAATTAAAATGATAGATTCAGAAAGCATAGTGTAAATTCATCCTTCTCTTAAATTTTCTTCCTTTTTTTCTTTCATTTTGTGATTGCAATTGTACCTTTCAGTGAGGTTTGATTTGGAACATGTTTTAAAGAGCTCATGAACAGTTTAAACAAAACAACTTTTAACTCGCATAAGCAATTTTAACTTACTTTAATAAGCTTCTTAATTTAGTTTTTCAAAACAAGTTGCTAAATTTCATCACTAATCTTATCCAAATGTAAACTTGTACAGGACTAGTGCAGCAGGTAGGTTTTCATTTTCAATTTTTAAGGTGAAGTCGATTTCGATGTTTTTTTAGCCTTTGTATTATGAACAGAATCGCAAAACACGCCACATTCATGCAAGCAGACTTTGAAGATCGTGCAAATTATATTATATAGTTAAAAAAATTTCACAATCAGATACGAAAGTATACATTTTTTTTTAACAACTGGCATAAAGTACCTTTTCAGATTATATAATTATTATACTCTCTTGCTTTTTTTTAAACTTCAATATTTTATTTTATTTTATTTTATTGGAAGAATATGATATGATTCTATGCAATGAATAGATGCTGAAAAACGTCCAGATGGGTGGGGCAATTGGAAAGGGTGGATGGAATGCTTGTTCTGTTATTGGGTTCAATGGGAGCTTTTGCTATTCCATTAAATGTTAAATATTAGTTTACTATATTTGGGAGTTGAATTTTGAAGAAGAAAGAGGGAATAAATATATTATTTTTAAATTAAAAAATTATATATTATTTATAATTGTAAATAAAATATTAAAATAATTAATTAATATCAATATATAACTGGAAAATGTTTGCAGGCGGTCTCCGTATAAAATGTAGTCGACATCAAAATTTTGGCCCGTCCAAACAGAGGTTTTACATTTAAAATATCAATTAGTGCTTTTAGTACAAAAATATTTAGTTTTACATTTTAAAACTTACTTAAATATTATTGTAACTCAACTTTTATTTTTTTTAAAAAATAATTTAAGATATTTCGAATATAAATTAATAACTATTTACAATTTAACATTTTTACTATCTAATTTAAATTATATAATGAAGGGCATTATTCTATAAGAAGTCTTAAATAATTGACATTTTAACTGTTAAATCATGCAATATCTTAACAATCATATACAACAAAATTTAAAGAAATGAGTCTTTTATTGAATGTAATTTAAAAAAATAATATTTACTTATATTTTAAAAAATACATCATATGTTAAAATAAAAAATTAATAAAGTATTAATTAATTTTTAGATCATATTTAAATTTTATAAAGTTGATATATTTAATAAAAAAAACTTCATATCACAATTAGATTATTAAAATTCAACTATCAAATAATATTATAAATAATTTTAAATATAATTCGACTTATTTTCAAAATATATCACCTTCAACAATTATATAAATATAAGTGAAATAAATATGAATTGTGCTGCCTCAAATGATCATAAGTTCACAACCCAAGGTTCATGCTTAAGCTAGCAGCAGAATTAGCCCAACTTAGTGCATTAGTGCTATATTTACATTCTTGAGAGTTTTAAAAATACCAATTTTTAAATTTTTTTTTTTTTTTAAATTTATTAAAGTATGAGTAAAAATATTAAATTAAAAATAAAACGTGTATGATTTTTATAATATTTAATAAATTTTAATCACTAAAGTATGTTATAGAGGCCAACATTTCACTTACACCCTTATCACTGTAAGAGAAAGAATCTGTTTTAAGTCTTAACATTTTTATATTATTTGTATTAATCAAATCATTAAATGATAAATTAATGCTCCTCTTATAATACTAGTACGGTTTCAACAGATGACATGACTACCGTTTAACGGAGGAAATAACAAAACAGAGTTGGAAAATGGAACTACTTGGGGGTGAGCTGCTTCTTTTTAATTAAAAGAGAAGAGGTGATTTGGTGTTTTTTTTTTTTTTTTTTTTCCGTCTAATAAAAAAATTCCTTATATATTTTTGGTAAGGAATATTAGCAACCCATTCTCTATATTTTTTAACACACTTTTAACTAATTATAATACTATTTGAGTCAATTTTTTCTTCGATTATTAATTTTTTCATATTTTTTAATTAATAATTAAAATATATATTAGACACAGTATATGTTAATATTTTTCTATTTTTTATCAGCAGGGTGAAGATAAGAGAGGAAATATACACTAAACATATACCTTTTATCTTATAAATGCTGCCTTCTAATACTTACATTCAACATTTAATTTCTTTTTTACAAAAAGATAATTATAATGCCTCGTGTTTTCATTAATAAGTAATTATTATTTTTTAAATTGTATAAAAATATTAATTAAAAATGTTTAAAAACACTATATATATATATATATATGGGTGCCTTTCTGGGCTGCGTGCAGTACGAAGGGACCATTGGGCTTCATATAAAACAATGCATGCGCTATCCTATAGGCCATAAGACGACAACTTATAGAAAAGACAATGCAAAATCCAAATTAGGGTCAGACCCAAAAGAAATTCCAAATTGAGGATAGGAATTAGCAAATGAGATGAGGTGACTTGTTTTGATGACTTTTAGTTTCACATTTACGTGCCGATATTGTAGGAATAAAATTGAGTTGAATTTAATTACATAAATTTAGAATACCAATTGTAAAATGGTGGTAAAGTTACTTATTTGTTATAGATATTGTGAATTATATTATAAATGATCTACGTGATGTGCGAATTTTTTTTGAGTAAAAAGTTAAGATCTTTTTTTACCTAATTATGCTCTTCTAATCCTAAGTTTTCAATGGGACAAACTTAGAGAACAGTGAAATGTGTTTTTGTGACGGCAAAGAAGACTTAGTCATTGTATTTATTAACCCTAGGCACTTCCCATCATAGACTTAAAGGTTAGGCCTACACTATATCCCACATAGATCAATATTAAGGTCCAAAGCCCATAAATAATTAATCACATTATTAATAGACTTAACATTATCAAATGGATCACAATATTAGCCTGTTTTTAATAAAATAAAAATCACAATTGATTGTAACCCATAACATATATTATAAAAAATTCTAACATTCTTCCATTTGGTCAAAATCAATTGTGTAGTTCATGGGTTTTGAAAACTTAAAAAAAAATAAAAATTCCCAGGCTAATAATATGTTGTGGCCACAAACATATGATTCTAAGATGCAATACTTAATTAAGATTCCATCCAATAAAATCATATAAATATTGAATCATGGCGGCAATTACATCTTTTACTGACGTAAGACCTTCCATGGTTACAAATACTGCTAACTTAATCGACTAGTCATTAATGTGGAGTGTAGCGAGAAAATAACATGCCAATATAATCAAACAACTATACTATCATTTTCTACATCATTCTTATTTTTTTCTCAAGTGCTTAAAAGACAAAGAAATTACATAGTTCATTACAAACCTTTATGCCTCAGCTCTAACTAGCATCAACCACCAGCATAGTGGTCTCAATGACACTGAGCTCAATATTTGGTCATAATACCTCAGCTTCAAATGGCATCAACCACCGGTATAGTGGTCTTAATGATACTGAGCTTAAAATTTGATTATGCCTAAACTTAATACAGTGTCAATCACAAGCATAATGACTCTAACAACACTGAGTTTTTATATTTGACAATCAATATAACAAATATGCTTATATATACAAAGATGTATAAAAAGATGTATTATCAATTGCTCAAAATAAAATAAAATACATGTCAACCAAACACAAAAGATGTTCAAAATAAGAGGTCCAACATGATGAGAAAATGACATAAGAGATAAATTCCCACTAAGTATATTAAAAAAATTCATAATTTTATGTTCTCAACATATACCTATTCAAATATAATATGCCTTAACTCCTTAATTTAAGAATTATTTAGCTTGTATTATATATCAATATACTCAATAACTATGTCAGTTTTCTTCATAAGATTTAACTGTCAAATTACTTCCGTTTTAAATGCTTAAGACTATTAGTAATTTTATTTAATTTTATTTAATTTTATTTTATTTTAGTTTATTTCTGTGTAAAACACAACATGTTATAATAATAAGTCTTCAATGGTTTAGTAATGAAAATCACAATATAAAGTCTTGTCATCAAGTTTCTTAACCAAACAATATAAGGGTCAACAACATAACAAACAAATTTTTTTTGCTCACACAATAAAAGCAATAAAAGTCAATTTCTTACGCTTCCTGTATGTGGATCCTCCAATCATCATAAAGATGTATCCCAAAGTCAATTATTACTACAACACTTAAAAAGATATATATATATATATATATATATATATATATATCCCACAATCTCTAAATTGTCAACTCTCCCATACGTAAGCCCACACTCTTCGATCCTTTGTAAGCACGCCATTATTTTCTTAGCAATTATTCAATGATGAATCCAAAGAATGTATTCACATATAGCCAAATTGTAAACTATTAAAGCAATGTTATATCTAATTATTTACTCCCACTCACCTAAAAGATGTCTAGAATTAGTTCTCTTAATAACAATTAAACTTCACCTATCAAACTTCTCCCACTAAGCTAAAAGTTTCATTTATTCATGTGTATTTTACTAGTTGATTATGGGCTTATCCCTCACGCCAAACTAAATCAAGAACAACAATTCCAAAAGAGAATTTCAGGTATTACTTTCATTTGTTATGATACAATTAGGTGACAAAATAATTGTTCATAAAAAAATTCAGTATTAGGATAAAAACAAGAATGCATATGAATAAATTATAAGACAAGGTATAGTTCAAGATGGTAATAAACTATCAATGTGAGTCCATTAAAATATTACATTCTCCTTTGGGCAGAAT